TGTGTTCACATTTGTTCCCCCCAGTTCCACATCTGCCTCCTCCCGCTCTGTTTTTTCCCTAGTTCTGTAGTATGCAGCATAACACAGTTATTATCCCAGCTAGAATGTAAGCACTGTGAGGATAAGGATCTTTGTTTTAAACAGTGATGTAGGGATGCCTGGGTGGCTCAGTCAGTTAAGCGTCTGCCTTCAGCTCAGGTCATGATCCCAGGGTCCTGGGATCGAGTCCCACATCGGGCTCCCTGCTCCGCGGGGAGCCTGCTTCTCCCTCTGCCTCTGCCTCTCTCTCTCTCTCTATTTCTCATGAATAAATAAATAAAATCTTTAAAAAAAACAAAACAAAAAACAGTGATGTAGTCCACATGCCTGGAACAGTGCCAAACATGCAGGCACTCAATTTGTTGATGGAATGAATGAGTGAATGCATCTTACTCCATCTACCCCATCCCCCATGGTCCCCGCTTCACTGGACAGAAAACAGGGTTGTGGGAGGGTGTGTCTCAGATTCCTTAAATTTTTTCCCCATTATTCTTAGCATGTAACTTGCATCCTCCAGGTTACCTCATGGTTCCAGATGCTATCATGTCCTTCTGCAGGAAGGAGGGAGAGGTTGGGACTCACGGACTCCCAGCTGAGTCATGCCCCTTCCTAAGGAGCCTTCCCGGAAGCCCATGCAATCCCCAGTAATTTATGCTTTACCCCTCATTGGCTAGAACTTGGTCACCTGGCCACCCTTTTTGCTGGGATGGCCAGGAAATACAGGAACAGCCCCTTCCAAAACAAAATTAGAGCTCTGTAAGGACTCAGGGTATGAGTTAGTAATTGGCAATACCCACCACAGGGGTGGTTCTCCTGCTGGCTAGGAAGGGAATGGCAGGGGTTTCTTTTATCTGAACATATGCAAGGTGACCCTCTTATTTTGCTTAGGGACAGAGTTTGTGACATAGCCAATCAGTAATGGCCAGGTGGTGACTGCTGGACGTCCTAGGGAATCAGCATATTCTGAACCTTGCAAGGATTTGGTTTGGTTTGGTTTTCTAACATTTTGACAGCATGCTTGAAACTTAAACATAGCAGACTTCTTAGTGGTTATTATATCATTCAGGAAGACCTCTTCTGAGACCTACCCCAGGCTGACATGTCAACAAGGGAAGCAGGGCAGGGGTACTGTGGGGAGTCATGCTTCATCTGGGCCTCTTTAGGGGCTCTTCAGCCGCAGCTCCCTCTTCTTTTGGAATTAGGGCTTCCTCACTCTCCCACCCCTTCCTGGCCTGAGAATATTTTGATTTTGCACAGGTGCTATTATGGATCCAGCCTGTCAAGGAACATGAGTTAAACACTGTTACTCCTCCAAAAAATGATGGTCCTGGTGCTGTTTAAATGCGAAAACTGCAGAGAGGGAAAAGGAAGATCCCTGGAGAAATGGACATTTTTTTTTCTCTTTAGAATGAAAAATAGTGATGGCTTTAAGTAACTGAAACTGCCTTCTGTGTGGTTAGTGGGCAATTTCTTGTCTGGTTTTTTGTTTGTTATTTTTTTTGACAGAGAGAGTGAGTCGGGGGTGTGGTGGGCAGAGGGAGAGAGAGAATCTCAGGCAGACTTCATGTCCAGCGTGGAGTCCAACGTGGGGCTCAGTCTCACGACCTGAGCCGAAATCAAGAGATGCTTAACTGACTGAACCATCCAGGTGCCCCTAGTTGGGAAACTTCAATATGGACTTAGTCTCCAGAGCCAGGCAAGTGGCAGAAATGAGAAGGCCTTGGGGTGCCTGGGTGGCTAAGTTGGATAAGGGGCCAACTCTTGATTTCGGCTCAGCTCATGACCTCGGAGTCCTGGGATCGAGCCCTACGTCAGGCTCTGCGCTCGTTGGGGAGTTTGCTTCTCTCTCTCTCTTCCTCTCTATTCCTCTCCCTCTGGCCCTCCCCACCCCCCCACTCATGCATGTGCTCTATCTCTGTCTCTCTCTAAAGTAAATCTTTTAAAAAGGCATGTGATGTGATGAGCACTGGGTGTTATATGCAACTAACGAATCATTGAACATTATGTCAAAAACTAATGATGTACTATATGTTGGCTAATTGAATTTAACTTAAAAAAAAAAAAAAAAAGACGAGGGCCTCTCTCATGAGGGCATCATGAATGTCTTAGCACAATCATACTCTACGGGCCAAAGAAAAATTAACACTTGAGTCCTCACTCTTCAAGCACCATTTTAAATGCTCTCTGGGTATTATTTTACTGAATTCTCACAAAGCCCCATGACGTAAGTGCTGTTGAAATCATCCTTGTTCACTACTGAGGGAACTGAGGCTTGGAGAGGTGACGTGACGTAAGTCCCCACATTGAGAAGTGGCAGAGCAGGGACCTGAAGCAGACACACTGACTCCGGAGCCTTCACTCTTCCTCACTGTGTTGAAGTCACTTCCACAAGGGAGTATTTTCTCTCTGATGTCTTTCAGACACCCAACCCTGTCAGTGTCCCATTTTCCCCACTCTTGACAGACCTTTGTCGCTTTTGTGCTCACTGTAATGACACCTGTCCTCAGTGGCAAGGACCGAGGCACCAGGACATCTGTAGAGTTCACGCCCTGGCTAAAGGGGGCAGCTGCTCCTGGTTCCAGCCACTGTGGCCTGGTGTAGCTGGATAATCTTTTTCTTGATAGAAGCTAGATCTGAATTTTTATGACACATCTCCTAATTTTTTAAGTGTTCGCAGCTAATTCAAATTAAAAAAAAAAACCAGTCTATAAGCACAACCAGTGAAACAATCAACAGAGTTTAAATGCATCCTGTGGAATGGGAGAAAATATTTGCAAACCATATATTTGATAAGGGGTAAGTATCCAAAATATACAAGGAACTTCTACAAATCAATAGGAAAAAACAAATAACCCATTAAAAAATGGACAAAGGACCTGAATAGACAATTCTCAAAAGAAGACATACAAATGGCCAACAAATACTTAAAAAGGTTTCACTAATCATCAGGGGAATGCAAATCAAAACCACAATGAGATATCCCCTCACCCCTGTCAAAATGACTGTTATCGGAAAGATGAAAGACAAGCGCTAGGGAGCATGTGGAAAGAAGGGAGCCCTTGTGCCCTGTTCCAGGAATGTAAATTGGTACAGCCGATAGGGAAATCAGTATGGAGGTTCCTCAGAAAATTAAAAATAGAACTACTTTATGATCGAGTAGTCTTATTTCTAAGAGAATGTAATCAGGATCTTGACGAGATCGTCTGCACTCCCCTGTTCAGCATTATTCACAATGGCTAAGATGTGGAAATAATGTGAATGTCAAAAGATGAATGGATAACGCACACACTGAAATATTATTCGGCCTTAAAAAAAAAAAAAGAAGGAAATCCTGCCATTTGTAACAACATGGATGGACCTGGAGGGCCTTATGCTAAGTGAAAGAAGCCAGTCATAAAAGGACAAATACTGCGTGATTCCATGTATATGAGGTGTCTAGAGGAGTCAGATTTGTTGACACAATGTAGAAGGGTGGTTAGAGAAATGGGGAGATACCGGTCGGGGGTACAGAGTGTGGAGTTCTAGGGATGCAATGTGTAGCAGTGTGACCGTACTTAACAGTCCTGTGCTGTATGCTTGAAATTTGCCAAGTGTAGATCTTACGTGTTCTCACCACACGCAAGAAAGGAAGATAAACGGTAACCGTGTAAGGTGACAGAGTGTTAATTAGCTTGATTGCGGTGACCGTTTCATCAGATCATCGAGTTGTGCCCAAGTATATACAAGTCTTAATTGTCGATTATACCTCAGTAAAACTGGGGGGAGGGGGGTGGAAGCAGTGCATAGGCTAAAGAGCGCCTATCTGCAGATCAGGTATACTCGGCAGCCTCCACCTCCAACCTCTGATCCATCTCCCCCAGCCCGCAGCTCGCCCGATGACACGCGTTCAGCATGCTGGCATTTCTCAGGGGTTGGAATGTACGGTAGAGACTAGCCGGTGTCGTCATCATTGTATTAAATTGTGGCATTGGAGAATGTTGGACCTGGAAAGGAACTTGGAAATACCTTGTCACATGTAGATGAGATGGTTTTAGGTGGCTCGTTGGTAAACGGTGTTTAATAGTTACACATTGATTTTAACATACATTCGGAAAATTGGCGCATGAAGCCTGCGGTCTTGGAAATGTTCTTGCCTGAGGTGAGGCCACGTGAAGAGCACTGCTAACTGTACATGTGTGACGTACTGATACTCGTGATGGTGAGAACGGCAAACGTGACAAAGGTGGCCTGAGAGCACCTGAAGCGTGCTCACACACCCATCTAGTCTCAACCACGTTGTTCAGACAAAGACATGGGTGCAAGGAGATTGTAACCGTGGCCGCCAGCTTTCCTAACTTCCGTTCGAGTTCTTTTTCGCCCTCTAAGAAAAGCATGCAACATCCACGTTTTCCACAGAGATTGACTTACCCATCTAAATAGTTATTGTGGTTTTACTTGTCAGTCGTACTTCAGAAGCTTGGGGGGCAAATAAATAGTTTGGGTGGGTCAGCTGCTCAGTGGAAATGAAAATACTTTGTACTGCTCTCCAGGACCTTGTGGATTAAACACAGAACTCATAAAAATAGGGGCTTGATTGAAAGGCCTCATTTGGGAAGAATTTGAAGGCTTATTTTGGTTCTGTTTAATGTGGTGGCCTTTTTGGTCAATGTGATGTTTGAGAAATCACGCATGTTTACTCCTTAAAGTCTAGTCCAGGACTGTTGACTCGTTCTCCCGAAACAACTGGTGCCGAAGCTCTTCCACTTAAGCAGTTAACAGTTGACAGAACAATTCGATTTAAAATGCAGTAAATCCTCAGCTACCGCATTAGAAGTGTCATGCTGAGCTCTGGGTTGTTCTGAGTGTGGAGGAAGCGAAGCAGCAGGAGGTGTGTCACTTCCCAAGGCTCTGGGGTGCCTGAGGTGAAGGCACAAGAGAAAGCTTCATCTTTTGTTCTGCTGAGAAGCGTAGCTGAGTAAAATCCAGCTCCTGCCTCTACCTCGGGGGTGGTGGAGAGGGTTTTAGGAAGGAAGAGGGATCCACAGAGGGAAACTCAAAGTCCTAGCAGATGCTGCCTCAGAGTTTCCAGATTGCACAGGACTCGTTTTCTTTTGGCATTATCAGATTTGGCTTTGGAGAGGACTTGTTTGCCCCGTTTGCCTCCTGGATGTGACCTCCTTCTCCCCCTTCCTTTGCTTTCCTGGGAGATACCCACATGTTCGTGTTTGTGTCTTTGGGCGTGTGTAGGGACTGATGACGGAGCCCAGGAGGTGGTGAAGGAGATCTTAGAAGATGTGGTCACATGTGCTGTTAAAGGTAAGACCTCCTCGCTGCTCCAAAAAAGTCCTTGGCCAGATAATTTTAGTGGTGGAGTGCCCACCCCCAGTGAAGTCATGGAAACTGAGTCTGCTTGTATCTGCCCGTCTTTCATGTGGAATTCAGAAATATCCAAAAAAGATATTTCTAAATATCTAAAAAAGAAGTATCTTTTTAGTGATTAATTTTATTCTCATTGGGGCTGGGTTCAAGCACAGTCTGATGATGCTACAATGGGGTGCTCCACGTGGAAGACAGAGGCAACTCCCAGATAGATCCAGCTTTTTGCAGGAGTGGCCGTGTGTCCTGAGGTGGTGCCTGGTGCTGCTGCGTGTCAGTGGCCAGCCACTGATGGGTCACGGCGACAGTCCTCACGTTAGCGGGTTCAGAGGCACAGGGAAGATTGGCTCATTTTGTTAGACTTCATTCATAGTTCCCTCAGTTTTATGGTGTCGTTTCAGTGGAATTAAACTTGTAGAGCTCAGAATGACCATTGGAGAGAGTTTTTTCTTTGTTTTTGCCCAAAATCTTAGGTAAATGGCTGTGTGTTGTACACTTGACTCCAGTGTCAATAAACCATTAATGGGTCAAGAAATCATTAATTTAGCAGGGGGTTACAATCAGCATTTCTTTTTTTTTTTAAGATTTTATTTATTTATTTATTTGAGAGAGAGAGAGAGAGAGAGCACAAGCAAGGGTAGGGGCAGAGGGAGAAGGAGAAGCAAACTCCCCGCTGAGCAGGGAGCCCAATGTGGGTATTCGATCCCAGGACCCCGGGATCATGACCTGAGCCAAAGGCAGACACTTAACCGACTGAGCCACCAAGGCGCCCCAGGGGTCATGATTTTTAAAATGTATTTTTTTTTTTAAGATTTTATTTATTTATTTGACAGAGAGAGAACACAAGCAGGGGGAGTGGGGATCCTGATGCGGGGCTCGATCCCAGGACCCTGGGATCATGACCCGAGCTGAAGGCAGACGCTTAACGACTGAGCCACCCAGGCACCCCTTAAAATGTATTTCTTACGATGGGTCACAAAGAAGTTTTTGACCCGCTGACCCACTGTAAAGTTGATTTAGGTTACTGCCAATCTGTATTCATAGATTTCATTATTTATTTAATGTGGAATTAAATAAAATTACTTAATAAAATGTAGAAATATACATTCTGGTAGCAATGTCTTTAAATAGAATAATTTTAATTCTTTGTCTTTCCCTTTTTTATGTGGCTGCCAGGAAGCTCAGGTCTACTTTGTTTTTTTTCCCGTGTGACTGAGGTCTTCTGTCGTAACTGCCAACTCTTTTCATTTACATGGCTCTTCTCTAACCCCTATATTAGTGGCGCTTTTTAAAAATTGGTGCTTTTCATGTTTAGCTGCTTCTAACCTTTTCCCAAAGTGGACAGGGGTGAGCAGGGCTGCTGTATTGCTCAGTTCTAGAGGCACCACTGACATGGACTGCAGTATGAATGAAACCTCTGGGGATTGGGGCTGTGGATAATAGACACATGAAAAGCCTGAGCACCACTTTGGTCAAGCCTTTTTCAATATTATGTCAGTCTCCTAGGGTGGTGGCAAAGGGCGAGCGGGAAAAAGCATGAGCTAGAAGATGATGTGAATAACTTCTCCCTGGTGTCAGACCTTTTGGGATGAGTACTAATTTCGTGATGATTTTTGCACTCGTGTTTTAAGAAGCAGCACAAAAGCATGGCCTGACAGAACCCGAGCGGGTCCTGGGTGAACTGGAGTGCCAGGAATGTGCTGTTCCTCCAGCAGCTGACGAAAACTCACAGACCAATGGGATAGCAGACGACAGGCAGTCCTTGTCGTCGGCGGATAATCTGGTATGTTGGTCATCCTCCTCCTATACAGACCCGTTTGGATTTTTACTTTTATAGAAGATGCAGAATGAAATCTCTAGCAGAAGTGAGTGAAAACTAGCAGACCCTATTCAGTTAGTCACACAGTCCTGGCCTGATATGCTTTGTATTAGTAGGTTCCATTCTTGGAATGTGCTACTGTTGGTTGTATATGGCATTGTTATTAAACCTTATTTATTCAGGCTTTTAAAAACTTCGGTTTCCTGGCCTTTCTTTTCTCTCAATCTACATTCATTATAGAAGAATAAGAAAATACAGAGAAGGAAAAATAGGGAAATAAAACTCATCCATAATCCCCTAATCTAGAGATAACCCTTGTTAACATTTTACTTATATCCTTCTAGATTTTTCTCTCCCTCTCATATTTTTTTCCACTTTAATCACATGACATACTGCTGCTTTGTAACCTGCTTTTGAAACTTAGTGTATATTACAAACGTCCTTTCAGACCCATAGATCTGTCTGCCACATTATTTTTTTTTAAAATAGCTTTGTTGTTTTCTTGAAAATGCTGTATATAAACACTCAAAACAGGGAGAAATACGATGTTAACATCCCACCTGAACCCACTCTCTGCACCTTTTCACTGGTGTTTCTCAACCTTTTGCATTATCAGCGCCCATCCTCCCAGCCTTTTTATATATTTCTTTTTCTGACGCACCACCCCCTTTCATGAACTTTAAAGCCACTGATAAACCGGATATCTGTTTATAATTATACATGTACCTGTGCTTTATACATACAAAGAATAAGATTTTTCCCACCCCCTACCCCTCTGCCCCTCCACTAAGAACCAGTACCTGTCCCTGTCTTAGTCTGTTTGGGCTGCCATAACAGGATACCATAGATTGGGTGGCTTATAAACAATAGAAATGTATCCGTCACAGTTCTGGAGACGGGGGAGTCCAAGATCAAGGTATCGGCAGTTTTGGTGTCTGGTGAGGGCCTGTTTCCTGATTCATAAATGGCTGTCTTCTTAAGGACATTAATACTGTTCACGAGGACTCCTCCCTCTTGGTGTAATCACCTCCCAAATGCCCCACTTCCAAATACCATCACTTTGGGGATTAGATGTCAACCTCTGAGTGGGGGTGGAGGGGGCACAGGCATTCAGTCTGTAGCAGTCCCCGTGGGATTATGTCATCCCTATTAAGAATGCACTTACAGGGATGTACTCAAATCTGCACAAAGGACTCTTGCCTTATATACTAGGCTGTGACTTCTTTGTTTACTCAACACCGTTTTATGGACATCTTTTTTTTTTTTTTTTAAAGATTTTCTTTATTTATTTGACAAAGAAAGAGGGAAAGCACAAGTAGGCAGAGAGGCAAGCAGAGGGTGAGGGAGAAGCAGGCTCCCCGCAGAGCAGGGAGCCCGATGCGGGGCTCGATCCCAGAACCCTGGGATCATGACCTGAGCCGAAGGCAGACGCTTAACGACTGAGCCACCCAGGCGCCCCTGGACATCTTTTCACATCAGTACCTACAGACCTAATTGTTTCAGTGGTCATGTAAAATTCTGTCCTGTGGATTGCCATAATCTATTTTACCAGTTCCCTGTTAGGTTTTTATGTTACTTCAGTTTTTTATCACAGGAAATAGTTCTGTAATGAGCATCCTTATAGATAAATCTTGTGCACATCCTTAATTCTTTCTTTAGGATAAATTCCTACAAGTGATATTGCTGGGTCACGAGTTGGAAGCTTTAAGGCTTTTGTTCCTTAACATCACATTAGCCTGCTAGGAAGGTAATGCTTGAATCTCTGCCCACCTGTAGGCTATCAGTGCTCATTTCCCCATTCCCTCATTAAAACTGGGCGATAGCCTTCATTCCAAATTTTGCTGGTCTGATGGGAGAAAGATCCCGCCTTAATAATTAGTAGTAAGACTATTTAGGTTAATCTGTCATTTGCATTTCTTGGTGAATTGCTTATTCATGGTTTTTTTTGCCTGTTTTTCATTTGGGTGGAAGGTTTCCGTATTTTTCCTCAATGAATTATAAGAACTTTTTGTATGTCGAGCATATTAGTCTTTGTCATGTTACAAATATTTTTTAATGTAGCTTATTTTTAGTTAAAGAAGTATATTTTAAAATGCGTTATCATTTTCCTCCATCTATCCTGCAGTAGTGTTCTTAGAAATACTGTTATCCAAGCTAATATAATTACTTATACATGTGACCCTTTAATGCGGGGGCTAGGGGCACTGACCGCCGCCCCCCCATGCAGCCGAAAATCTGCATTTAACTTTTCACTCCCCCAGAACTTAATAACTACTGATAGCCTACTGTTGACCAGAAGCCTTACTAATAGGATAAACAATTGATTAACATATATTTCATATATGCATTACATATTGTATTCTTCCAATAAAGTAGACTAGAGAAAAAAATCTTAAGAGAAAATACATTTACAGTACTGTATTTATTGAAAAAAATTCGCATATAAGTGGCCCCATGCAGTTCAAACCCGTGTTGTTCAAGGGTCAACTGTATTTGTCTTAGATTTTTAACGGTTTAACGTTTGCTCATTTATCATTTTAAGCCACCCATACCCACTTTTTGAAGGACAAGGAACAAGGTTTTAGAATTGCTAAAATGACTCCCCCATAGCTCCTATTTTGGCATATTGTCCTCTCCCCCACATTCCTCACTTCCCCATTGAATAAATAACAGAATTTTAAATTTCCATGAGATAATTCCGTTCCTTATTTTTGAAAACGAGTTCTTCTTTTGTTTTGACTCCTTGATTTTTCTCTTATTTGTTTCTAATCTCAGGAATCAGATGCACAGGCCCATCAAGTGGCCACTAGGTTCTCTCACATTCTGCAGAAGGACGCCTTCCTGGTGTTTCGCTCCCTTTGCAAGCTGTCCATGAAACCCCTTGCTGAAGGCCCCCCAGATCCAAAGTAAGTGGACATCAGTTCTTGGCCATGTATGACCCAGGTGACCCAGGAGGATGTTGGGGATTCCAGGAAACCCCAGTGCCCTGTCCCCTGGTTGGTGTGAATGCAGGAATTTACAGCTTTTCAGACTCCTGCTGTCTCTACAGCCCTTTCATAATGGATTGTCTCTGTGTCCACACCAAGATTTTGCCCAGTGTTGCTTTCCCTGGTTTATATGCAAAAAAAGAGTTATTATGTTGAATGTGCACCCTCTTTTTTCTGACTAATGAATTTACTCTGATGCAGGGTGGGCAGAGGCAGGATGTGTACAAACCTTACTTCCCTGCCTTTGTGGGAAACCTCTGCTCCATGGGTACAGATTTAAGCCCCAGATGCATCCTAGAGAAGCCAAACCTTTCTTTGTAGTGAACCAGTTACTGCAGAGATGATAGCGCTTTGGAGCTAGGGAGCTGCATTCACTCCTGGCTCGCTTGAAAGCACCTCCACAGCCATATGCGTTACTGAACCTCAGCTGAAAAATGTGACTGTGGGAAAGTGCCTTACAGGATCAAACACATGAGATGATATCATCGCATCCTGAGTGGGGGACCCTGCACTTTATGCGATTGTCACTGTTATTGTTAGTCGCTAACAATAATCCTCGACTCTTCTGTTGAGATATGATGACCGTTAAGGACTTGATTCAGGAAAGTTTTCTTCTTTCTGGCCCTGTGGGTGAGGGTGGAGAGCATGAGGCAGGTGGATAAAGAGCACTGTTTCCATTTCTCAGTAAAGACAGAGCAGGACACAGGGTTTAGTCTCACAGGTATGATGTAAAGTAACTGTTGTTGCAGAACCAGCATTCTGGAGTCAGTTTATACTTACTTTGCTCCTGCTGAATACCCTATTTTATGGCAGGGAGAAGAAAAGGATAGTAGGAGTTGGCAACTCTTGTCCTCATGGGCCTGCAGGTCCCAGGAGGACCCACCTGATGCCATCTGCCCTCACGCTCTAGGCATCTAGGTGCCGGTGCCAGCTCTTAACTCGTTGGCTCTCAGAAAATTCTGCTTGCTGCTAGAGGAGCGAGGCCTTCTCAAGAAACCTGCTCTTTAAAATCGAATCTTTTAGCATTGTCACCATCTTTCCCTTCCTGTGCCAGATCCCACGAGCTGCGTTCCAAGGTGGTTTCCCTGCAGCTGCTCCTGTCTGTGCTGCAGAACGCCGGCCAGGTCTTCAGGACTCACGAGATGTTCATCAACGCAATCAAGCAGTATCTCTGTGTGGCGTTGTCCAAAAATGGCGTCTCCTCAGTGCCTGATGTCTTTGAGCTCTCTCTTGCCATTTTTCTTACTCTTCTTTCAAACTTCAAAATGCACTTGAAAATGCAAATAGAGGTATGGCCTCCAAAATGATTTTTTGGGTTTTGTTTGTTTCTTTTTTTGTATAATGGTTATACACAAAGAGTTGACTCCCGGTGACATAGTCACCAGGAACTAGACTTACACAGTCTACTTGCTGGCACCCCAAAGAAGAACTTTTTGAATAAGTGAGAGAATACCTTTTCCTAAAAGTTTCTGCCCCCAAATCTTGCATGCTTTTCTAACCAAAAGTGTAAGTCGAGTGGCCCATGTGCTGGATTCAGGCCCCTGAACATCTTTGTTTAGCCTATAAATTGTTTGAAATGACCTGAACTAGTTGGCAAATTGAGAAGTCATTTTCATTTCATTTTATATGAAAATCCAGATTTCTGGTTTCTCTCAGAATTGTAACGCTAGTCCTCATCTTTGCCTGACAGCTCTTGGTGGTTGCTGAGGAGCAGCTGCTCCACTGGTGGGGGCTCCGTCCTCCGGGTCGCTGTGGTCCTGCCCCGCTAGCTGTTCCCACGGGAGGCCAGGGTTCCGCCACGCCTCAGCAGTGCGTGTGTGTGCGCACGCTGCTCTTTTACTTCTCCCCAGGCTACCTCACTCGGAGCTGCCTGTTCCCTAAAGCCTTTGGGGGTTTTGAGCCCTAATTTAAATGGTATTAATTGGTGTCCCCCTTTGTCTTCATGTCATGTAGGTCTTTTTCAAAGAGATTTTCCTGAACATTTTAGAAACATCAACAAGTTCTTTTGAGCACAGGTGGATGGTCATTCAGACTCTGACAAGGATCTGTGCAGGTATTTTCACTCTGAGGGTGCTCATCCATTGACCTACCCAGAAATGCTTTTCCAGAATCCAGATTGAGACCTTTACCTCCTGCTTTTAGAGTGTTAATGCAGTGCTGGGAAAGCTCACCTTAAAGGCTAATGCTAACCTAACGTCTAGTCCCTCTCCACTTCTTTAGAGGATGACCAGCTCAATTTGGTTTGTCCCGCACTTTGTGGTCTTCTCACAGAAAGTCCCACATCCTGGGAAGCCCCCTAATCCTGCAAAACCAGGATACAGGGTCACTCCACCTACAAACTGAATGCTTTGTTAGTCACAGGGTCCAAGGTACTGATGCTGCCAACCCTTGATTGGATGCGAAGGTCAATTCAGATTTACTTTATCACAGTACGATTATGTGGCTGTCAACCAAGCCTCCGACTTGTCTGTCATCAAACATAATTCCATAAGTCACACAACTTGAAGAGGTGGATCGGGCAGTTGTTATCTCTTTCTTATGAGGAAAATGAGCCTTGGAGAGGTGGAGTGAGGGGCTCAAGATTCCGGTTAGTGCCGAGGCAGGTGTCAGAAGAGGGCCTCCTGACTTCTAGTACATCTGACACACATTTCCTGAGGGATTCGTGGCTACCTGAGTCAGTGATTCAGTGGGAAGCATTTTTGAAAAAGGAATCTCATTTAATGAGAAAATGTAACTGCTGTGTCTGTTGGATCAGAATTTCTAATATCTCTGTGTTATTTTCCAAGACGCCCAGTGTGTTGTAGATATTTATGTCAACTACGACTGTGATTTAAATGCTGCTAACATTTTTGAGCGCCTCGTGAATGATTTATCCAAAATCGCTCAGGGAAGAAGTGGACATGAGCTGGGGATGACACCTTTGCAGGTAAAAACGCTGAAAACACCCATTTATATTTTTTTTAAAGATTTTTTATTCATTTCAGAGAGTGGGAGCATGAGCAGGGAGGAGAGTCAGAAGGAAAGGAAGGAGCAGACTCCCTGCTGAGCATGGAAGCCTGACACAGGGCTCCATCCCAGGAACCTGGGATCATGACCTGAGCAGAAGGCAGCCACTTAACCGACTGAGCCACCCAGGTGCCCCCCATTTATATTTAAAGTGCATTTGTTTCAGGGTGTCTGGGTGGCTCAGTCGGTTAGGCGTCTGACTCTTGATCTCAGCTCAGGTCTTGATCTTAGGGTCGTGAGTTCAAACCCTGCGTTAGGCTGCACGTCCAGCGTGGCTTTTATTTTTAAGGATCCATTTTTATTTGGAAAAAAAAAAAAGGTGCATTCATCTCCATGAACCTTTATTGAGTGCCACCATGTGCCAGGCCAGCGCTGTCCTTGGTGCTAGGATTCAGCAGTGAACAAAGCACAGTGCACAACTGCTGTGGTCACGACATTTACAAGCAGACAATGGAGAAGCAAGCTGCAGAGAAGAATAAAGCAGGGATAAAGGGGTGCTAGAAATGGGGGTGCTGTCATTTTTAATGGGGTCACAAAGGTAGTCTCTCTGAGAAGGTGACATTTGAGCCAAGATCTGTAGGAAGTCAGTTCACTTACAGTCACCTTTCCAAAGCTTATATGAAAACAGGATCCTAGGCTCCAGTAAGGCAAAGGAAATTGTCTCTTATCCAGTTGCCTCATTAGAGTGCCCACACAGAGGATCTTAAGGTAAGGTCTCTGAAGGAACTGGTCAGAAGGTTTGTGAGCTGCCTGGAATTATGTGTAGAATTTTGGTGTATGGGCATTTTCCCTAGAAGGTCTGTAGATGTCATTAGATTCACAGAGAGATCTGTGCCACCTTAGATGCTGTTTTGAGTAGAAAATATTTGCATTTCTTCAGGTTATCTGCGATTCACATTCAATTTTTTAAGAAATGCTACTTTTTAAAAAATTAGTATTTTTATTCATTTGTAGAGCAGGCCTTAAGATGGTATGCATTTGTGAGTGTTTGAAGAGTAAGAATGTGTCCAGAATCACTCATTTGTTGCATCATGTAAAATTCTTTTCTCTTTTTTTTTAGGGAGCGGGGGTCACTGGTTAAGACCCTGTTGATTTTTAATTTTTATTTATTTTAAGCAATTTTTTTCCTAAGATTTTATGTATTTGAGAGAGAAAGAATGCACGTGTGCATGTGCGTGAGGGGAGGGAGGGAGAGAGAATCCCAAGCAGACTCTGTACTGAGTGCCAAACCTGATGTGGGGCTTGATCTCATGACCCTGAGATCATGACCTGAGCTGAAACCAAGCATCAGACATTTAACCAACTGAGCCACCCAGGCACCACAACCCTGTTGGTTTATTAAAAAGGAAAGTGTCTTAAGTGTTTTTCGAATTATACAAGCAATGAATAACTTCCTTTTAAAAATCCAGATAACACTTGGGGCACCTGGCTGACTCAGTAGGTAGAACATGCAACTCTTGGTCTTGGGGTCATGAGTTCAAGCTCCATGTTGAGCATAGAGTTTACTTAAAAAAAAAAAAAAATCCAGCTAACACTGTTCCTTTTAGGAAGGCACACATCTCGGGGCGCCTGGGTGGCTCAGTTGGTTAAGCGACTGCCTTCGGCTCAGGTCATGATCCTGGAGTCCTGGGATCGAGTCCCTCATCGGGCTCCCTGCTCGGCAGGGAGTCTGCTTCTCCCTCTGACCCTCCTCCTTCTCATGCTCTCTGTCTCTCATCCTCTCTCTCTCAAATAAATAAATAAAATCTTTAAAAAAAAAAAAAAAAGGAAGGCACACATCTCCTGTTTTTCTACTAAGGTGTTTGTAATGAACAGCTTTAGAGATTTTCAGGGTTTTTGCAGTGAGCCCTTAATACTTATGCCACCTGTTAACTTTTCCTTGGGTTCTGTGCTTAATAGCACCAAAGGTCAGTGATTATCTCGTATTCTCAGAGAATTCCGTAAGAGTCCTGTAGATGTCTGCACTCAGTGTATCTGTTAAGTCTCTGTGCCATGTCCCTTCTGTCCTTTAGGAGCTCAGTCTGAGGAAGAAAGGTTTGGAGTGCCTCGTGTCCATTCTCAAGTGTATGGTGGAATGGAGCAAAGACCTGTATGTGAATCCCAACCACCAGACCAGCCTCGGTGAGAGGGCTTGCTTGCCATAGCACCACCTCCATTCACAACATGACTGTTGGGAAAGTCGTCTTTGTGTCACTGTCTTAGAATTAGCAAAACACTTTAGTTTGCTGACTGCCTTAAAGCTTCTGCTTTTTAATCCATCTGGATTTGGAGGGAATAGTGTGAGTTGTGCTCTAGCATCATTTTTCCAAATGGAGAGACAGTTATTCTGATTTTTTTAGTAGTCTCTCCTTCCCTCACCACCTTGAAGCACCACCTTTATGATATACCAGATTTCCCTGTGGAAGTCTGTTTCTGAATTTTCTATTCCATTCTACGGATTTGTCTGTTCTTGCATCATTACCACACTTTTCAGATGCCTTGAATTCTTTAGTGAGTTTGATAACTGTTAGGGCAGGTCTTCTTATTCATTGTTCTTCAAGTGTCTTCAGTTTTGGCACTTCTGTTCTTTCATGTGAATTTTAGAATTAGCTCATCAAGTTCCACAAAAAAGTAAATTTTTAAGTAAAGTACCTGAGTAATATCAAGGTTTCATGCTTACGACTCTTACGGTATAAACTTTATTGTTACAGGTCTGGAAAAGGGAACCACAGAGTCAGACCTGAGCTCAGGTATGTCTGTATCCCATCTGTTGATTGAGTTTCCTTTGCTTTATGTCATCGCAGGTCAGGAGAGGCCCACAGATCAGGATCTAGGGGATGGGAAAGGCCTTGACATGGCAAGACGGAGCAGTGTGACGTCCATGGAGTCCACGGTGTCTTCGGGGACCCAGATGGCTGTCCAGGATGATCCAGAGCAGTTTGAGGTCATCAAGCAACAAAAGGACATTATCGAACATGGCATCGAGCTGTGAGTATGGCTGCTACTCCAGCCAAATCTCTTGGGGCTTCTGACAAAGCCATGTCTTCTCCGGGAACCTGGGACTGACTCCCCTAGGGGAATGCCTATTACAAAAGGCCAGTGCTGATGCTCACAGCCAAGCCTGACTGGGCCAGAGTGAGTGAGTGAGAGAGTGGGAGAGGGAGAGGCAGATTGAGATTGAAATTTAATAGCTTTGTGTAGTTGATGCCTGGTCTTTTTATTTTTATTTCACCTAATGCAAAAAATTAAACCAATTTAGAACATAAAAGTATGAAGCAAGAATGTTTAATCACTCATAAAATTATTATCTAAAGGAAATCAGCATTGGTAACTTTTTTCCAACTATATCTTATGAACAGTTCCAACATACAGAAGAATTAAGCTTGTCGTATTAGCATTATTTAGGTATATTTTTTTCTGAACCATTTGAAAGTAATTTGCACCCATCATAATACCTCAGCCGTGTATCTTTGGAAAATGACATCCTCTCATAAGTGCATCATCATTATTACAAGCATTGGTAAATCTTAAGGTGTTTCTTTCCAGTCTCTCACACATAAAAATACGTAAACTCAGTCTCATATTCTGTCCAACTTTTGAATGATTAGTTAACTTAGTAAATTTGGTTTGTTTTAAAAGCTGATGTTATAATACTTATGAAGTGTTGATCTCGTTTCCACTCTCCCCAGCCCTCTATCGCCCCCAGTCTATTCTCCCCAAAGCAGCTAATCTTTTAAAAACTTAAATCAGGTCTTATCAGTCCCCCACCTAAATCATTCCACATTTCCCTCTCCTCATCACAGCCTGGTCCCGCCTCCAACCCCCCACCCCCACTGACCTCATTTGCCAGTATCCGAGTCACACTGTGTGCTTTAGTCCCTTGAACACCTTGAGCTCTTCTCACCATTGTGCCCTCTGCTGGGAATACTCCTGGGTCTTTTTTCTCCCTCAGGCTTGGCGAAACCTCTCCTCCTCAAGGAGGCCTTCTGTAGCCTCCTGTCTGCAGGCTGCTCCTGCTCGCACCTGATCCATGTCCTTCCTGCGCAGCCCTTGCCCCAGCACAGAGCATTCTCCAGTGCGGGGCCTGGTAAATAGCACATTGAATTTATCCATAGTGAAGTATGCCTACCTTTAACAGGAAATACACACAGTACTTAAGCACTGTTAAAGGAAATCCCAACGTGGACAGTCTAGGGCTGTTATATTGGCTCTCATGGACAGCAAAGATCCAGGCTCTTTTAGTCTTTCTCCTTTACCATCCTTTTTTTTTTTTTTTTAGCGGGGGGGTGGTGCAGAGGAAGAGAGAGAATTTTAAGCAGGCTCCACACCCAGCACAGAGCCCAGCATGTGTCTCGATCTCACAACCCTGAGATTGTGACCTGAGCCGAAATCAAGAGTCAGATGCTTAACCAATTGAGCCACCCACGTGCCCCTCTGCTTCACCATCCTTAACACAATTTCCACCTTCAGTGTTGCCTCATGGTTTAAGGTGACTGCTAGAGCACCAGCCATCATACATATACTAGGGAATAAAGGGGAAACTGCAAAAAGAATATACCTCCCAGCCAAGCCAGCTTTGTTTAAGGATCCTTCCTGGAAGTACCCACACCATTTCTGCTCATATATCACAGGCCAGAACTTTATCACGTGGCCATACTTTAAGGGAGGCAGGAAAATGTAATTTTTATTCCAGGTGGTTGTGTACCTGGCTAAACATCTAGGGCTCTGTTAGTGTTGGAGAAGAGGAGAACAGATGTTGGGTGACAGCCATCGGACCCTGCTATAGCTAGGTCAGAAATTAAAGGTGAAATTCAGAGAAGCCACCAGGACACACAGGACCTTCCTGAGCTGATAGGCGATGACTTGTTCATGCCTCAAATGCCAGCTTTTTCTCTCCTCCAGATTTTGAAATAAGTAACCCATGTCCTCTCTCTTTTTGAAACAGTTTCAACAAGAAACCCAAGAGAGGCATCCAGTTTCTCCAGGAGCAGGGCATGTTGGGAACATCAGTTGAAGACATTGCCCAATTCCTGCACCAGGAGGAGCGCCTTGATTCTGTAAGATTGGGGGTTGGACGCTTGCGTGTAGGTTTTATCAGGTGCTTCTGAGACCCCGCCTAGCTTTAACCTAGAGCGTGGCTGACCCTCAGTGCAGTGGCTATTGTCCACTCCCTTGTTTATAGCAGTCCTACTTACTCCTTTGGCCAGTGTTGGCAAAAAGCTCCCAAGAGGGGGTGGTGTACTTGGTGGAACAGTGTCAGAACTAGAAGTGTCCTTTGACTGCTAGAAACTTCTTTGGTTACATACTGATGAGCAGGTTACAAAAATGGCTACATAACTAAATAAAACCTGCCTAAGTGCATGATATCATCTTAGCAGTCAAAGGACACTGTCTGCAGCCCACCTCCCTCCTGAGTGTGTCCCATCATTCTTTCCTCTTTAAGTCTCTTATGCCTCCTCCTGTTCTGCCTGAGACAGGATAGACTGAGCCTGGAATGGGTGGGTGGGTGGGCAGGCTTGGAGTCGCCCAGCTTTTCTAGCAGGCCAGCCTGTTCTGGGTGTTGAGAGCAGGGTGTTCTGCCTCCCCACCCTGTCTGAAGGGTGTTTTACTGTGGGTTCACATATGACAATTTCTAGATGTGAGTGGGTGTGTATGTTTCAGACCCAGGTAGGTGATTTTCTGGGAGACAGCACAAGGTTCAACAAGGAAGTGATGTATGCCTACGTGGACCAACTTGACTTCTGCGAAAAGGAATTTGTCTCAGCCCTACGGACATTTCTAGAAGGTTTCCGTCTACCTGGGGAAGCCCAGAAGATTGATCGACTAATGGAGAAATTTGCTGCAAGATACATAGAGTGCAACCAGGGGTAAGCGCTGTGTTGAAGTCCCTTCCATGTCATCTTTTTGTCTGCCTCAGAGCACTGATCTTAGTTTGGTTGGGAGTTGAGTTTAATCTTTCTAAATCTGCGCCAAACAACTAACGTTTCTGTTACGATGTGCCAGACACTGCTGAGGGATTATCTCAGGTAAGACCTCACAGCTTCTGTTTGTGTCCCGTTTCTGCAGACAGGGAGAGTGAGGACCAGAGAGGCTAAGTAACTTGCCCACATTTACACAGGTAGAGCCCACGCTATCTTGATAAGAGTAATTTTGAGTTGAGAAGGGGCTTAGGCACCTCTTTCCTAATTAAGAACAGCTCCCTGATCTAACATATGGGGTAGATCTCAAGGATTTTGGTTTTTCTTTGGTTACATACTGATGAGCAGGTTACAAAAATGGCTACATAACTAATAAAACCTGCCTAAGTGCATGATTTCATCTTAGGTCCTCTTTTGGTGGGTAGTTCATGTTTTTGTAGGAAGTGGAAATTAAAGAGAGCTAACCTTTATTAAACATCTCCTGAGGCACCTGGATGGCACAGTAGGTTGAGTGTCTGACTCTTGGCTTCAGCTCAAGTTTTGATCTCAGGGTCATGAGATCGAGCCCTGTGTCAGGCTCTATGCTCAGTGGGAAGTCTGCTTAAGACTCTTTCTCCTGAGGCGCCTGGGTGGCTCAGATGGTTAAGCATCTACCTTCAGCTCAGGTCGTGATCCCAGGGCTCTGGGATCGAGCCCCATGTCGGGCTCCCAGCTCCGCGGGGAGTCTGCTTCTCCCTCTCCCTCTGCCTCTCCCCTTGTTTGTGTTCTGTCTCTCTCTCAAATAAATAAAACCTTAAAAAAAAAACTCTTTCTCCCTCTGGCCCTCCTCCCCTATGTGTATACACGCACATGCTATCTCTCTGTCTCTCTAAAATAAACCTTTTAAAGACAAGACAAAACCCCAAAACACATCTCCTATATGTCAGCCGTACCATGGGTTTTACATACATTTCATTTAATTAATGGCAAGCCTGGGAGTAGTGTCTCCATTTTTTAGAGAGGAAACTGAGGCTCTGGGAGAGTGAGCAACCTGTCCAGAGTTAATCAGCTGGTAAGTAGCAGAGCAGGATTGAATACGGATTGTCTAACTCAAAAGCTCACACACTTTCCCCTGGGCGTGAAGTGAAGAATGTCTGAATATACTATGAACATGATGTAGAAATTGTTCAGTAGAGACATTTTAATAACAGTTTGCCTCTCAGGTCAATTTGGTTTTCATATTAATTGGTTCTAATCCTCCAGGCACACAACGAGCTATTCCCATTAGATGCATGGTCAACAGAGGCAGCATCTGGTCATTTTAACCCAGTGAACATAGAATTTGCCGTGAAGGCAGAGGAGATGTTACTTACTTCGAACATATCTCCTGTGTGGACCTGGGGACCTTGGTCTGTTTCTCTTAATGGCTAAACATGTTAGATTGTTTCATGGTAGAATGCAGACCTTTTGGGGCACCGGGGTGGCTCAGTTGTTAAGTGTCTGCCTTCAGCTCAGGCCCTGATCGCAGGGTCCTGGGGTCAAGCCCCGAATCAGGCTCCCTGCTCAGCGGGAAGGCTGCTTCCCCCCTCTCCCACTCCCCCTGCTTGTGTTCCCTCTCTCGCTGTGTCTCTTTCTATTAAATAAATAAATAAATAAAATCTTAAAAAAAAAAAAAGCAGACCTTTTGTTATGTTCTTCAGAGTTTCTTCCTTTCCTTTTGGGGATGATTTGGACAGACCAGTTTTTGTAGCTTCAGCCTCACATACTTTGAGACTGTGTATCCACACATTTTTGTCTTTTCTTGGCTAAGGCAAAAAAAGCCAGACGTAAGCATATTATATAGAACAATATAAATATTTTTTTTCAAATTTCTGCTGTTTAGTATTACAGTGGGTAATGTAAGCTGTAAATAATTAATAGTTGAACAGCAGTTTTCTCTTTTTTTTTTAAGATTTTTTTTTTTTTAAGTAAAATGCTCCCAGCATGGGGCTTGAACCTACAAACACAAGATGAAGAGTCGCACGCTCTACTGACTGAGCCAGCCAGGCATCTCTGAAAAACAGTTTTCTTCCTCTTTCTCCCCAGTGCCCAGCACAAAGTAGATGCTCTCAGGAACAGGACCAGGGTGAGGTAGGTGAAGCACAAGGGTGCAGACTGTAAGGGGGCCTCACTCTCATGGTCGGAGTGAGGGTCTCTGTGCATTTTGTGCTCTGGGTGCCTCACTTGCCACACCCTCATCCAGGGTTCTGGCTGCACCTTGAGAATCTTTAAAACTTGAGTTAAAACTGCTTTATTCAAAGAAACCTAAAACGTGACACAATTTCTTAAATTAGCTTTTTCTACACTCAAGGTTATTAGTTATTATTCGATGGTGATAAAAACATGAACACTCGGGCGCCTGGGTGGCTCAGTTGGTTAAGCGACTGCCTTTGGCTTAGGTCATGATCCTGGAGTCCCGGGATCGAGTCCCGCATCGGGCTCCCTGCTCGGC